ATCATCACTGGCCAAAATACTGACTCGGTATTTCATTTTCCTGATGTTGTTTTATAATTTCCTATTTCGTGTAACACAGAACTTAGGGAATTCAAAAATACATAGCCAGCCTTGCCCTGGGTGGCAAGGACCAAGCTTTCAATCCCTTTGTGCCGAGTCTGCGCGTTTACGGAATAATCATAGAATCACAGAATGGTTTGGGTTGGAAGGGACCTTAAAGCCCATCTAGTTCCAACCCCCCTGCCATGGGCAGGGACACCTTCCACTAGACCAGGTTGCTCCAAGCCTCATCCAGCCTGGCCTTGGACACTTCCAGGGATGGGGCATCCACAGCTTCTCTGGGCAACCTGTCCCAATGCCTCCCCACCCTCTCCGTGAAGAATTTCTTCCTGATATCTAATCTAAACCTCCCTGATTTCAATTTGCACCCATTACCCCTTGTCCTATCACTACAGGCTCTTGTAAAAAGTCCTCTCCCAGCACCCTTGTAGGCCCCCTTCAGATATGGAAAGCTGCAATAAATGCTAGTAAGAGATGAAATCTGTTATTCGGAGTCAGTAACTTCATAAACACATTGGAACAAATACAAATCAGTATCAAGATGCATACCAAGCAGCCTATATGAATATTTCAACATTCTCTTCACCAAGAAAGTAAGAATTTGTCCTAAACATGCATACAACTGGATGTAAATGGGGAACACTATTCACAGTGCTACAAAGAAGATCCGCCTAGTACTACTCTGATATCAGAGTCCACAAACTCAATGGTTTTCATTTGCTGCATCCCATGGCTTCTGACTGTATCGCTTACAGCAAGGAACTGTAAAAACTAGCAAAGAATCATGGGTTTGACTGACAGCATGAGGTTCAAAAGTAATTAAATCACATTCACTCCAGAAGGGAAGCCAGTAAACCCCATATGCAGACAAAATTTAATGTCGCTGAGTGCACCTAGAGGAACTCCATGCAGCAGTCAGACATCAGTGCAGCATCCTGTAGTGCAAAGAAATCACTGAGCTGCTTGGACAGCAACTGCATACAGCAAATTCCCATTCCTCAAACAAATTTAGGAATCTGGAGGTAACTCAAACCCTCTCTTTAGAACCAAAATGTGCTTTTTTCTCAGAGAAAACCTGACCAGATGCTGGAATCCGACCTTACCAATGCACCGGGTTCCCTCCTCGTTGGAGTGGTAGCCTCTGCTGCAAGTCAGCATGTTCCTTTGGCAGGTGTAAGACCCAACCGTATTGATGCAGTTGAATCCTGCTTTACATGGCTCAGGGAGAGATGTGCATTCATTAATATCTGGTCAAAAAAAAAGAATTAGAATAGTGAGAGAAGCTAGTTAACCTTTCTAGTCTGTTTTCTTCCAGCTGTCACTTTTTCCCCCTTCACGTCATTTTACTGTGCTACAAAGGTAAGGCTGATAATGTCTGCTGCGGTAACACTTTCAAATTCAGTATCTGAGTGCATATCATTAAAAGGACAGCATTGTTTAAATTAATTCACAGCAAGATTTAAGGCAAATTACGTGTAGTCAATATACCCCCCTTGGACAGACTAAAAGGAACAGGAGTTGGCAGTACTGCTGCACATACTACAAACATATTGCTGGTCACACTTACCAACACAGTTTCCTTCAGGGTCTTGTAAAAATCCATCCATGCAGCGTTGCTTTGACTCACAATAGAATGATCCTTCTGTATTCTGACAAACGAAGTTCACTTTACAACTATGAGTTCCTCTCTCGCATTCGTCTGTGTCTGTTAATCAGATCAAACCACCAAATCGTGACTAGTTAAGCTGCATTTTTCATTAGTCTTCATGACTAGTTAACTTCTCAGGAAGGAAGTCAGGGAGTATTACTTAAACCAGACACCCAACACTGCCTATGGGAAACCCGAGGTGTACCTACGTTTGCTCTTGGACATCCACTTCAGCATTGGCTTCAGAATCTGTCAGGTCCTGCAAAATTTGATTCAGGTCCCTGCCGCCTCATTCACAGCATCTCTTGTAAACCACAAATACTGCAACATCTGCGGTTTTAAAACCCTAAAGACCCAAACTAACACTAGGAATAAGGTACACATAATAAAATGTGTCTCGCCCTCTTTCAAAAAGCAAAATGGTCTCTTATTCCTTAAATACCTCAGGAATTCTAGGTAGAAACTTACCTCCACTGTATTTGATACTAATATGGCACCTACTTGAACAGGGCTGGGATTTCGCTGTGTGCGCTGGCACGTGTGCATGCATGGATATAGATGTACTTATGTACACAGAACAAACACGTATCCGACTCTAAAAACTACTCTGAAAAAAATCTGAATGAGAAGTAGTAATATTAGTAACAACTTCAGCTTTTATTTTTCTTATTCTGCAGCCAGAACTCACCACAGCTTTCTCATTTTTTATTATGCAGATGAAATTATTTCTCAAATTATGTTCATCAACTTCATCATGCTTGCTTTCCAGGCACTTACTACAAGTTTCAAACTTATAAAATTACACTCAACCGATCCATGTTGAGTAACTGCATGTATCAGCTGGTATAGTGGCATTGCTTCCAATTTCCAGTTGAAGAAACCCCACCTAGGAACAGACTTCAGCTATAAATACGTTCAAAATTCAGTTCCTGTGAATATTTTCAAATGCTGCTGGTTCCTGAGAACACTCCCTATGATGAACATCTTTCCTAGAAGATAATGACAAATGGAGGAAACTCCACAACTGAGGAGTCCCCACTCCTCCAGTCAGTCAAGGGGAGAACTGCTGGCACTTCTCCTTCTATCCCAACTCCTCAGTTAAATGCTACGGTCACAAGGGATCATCACCAGTCCCCCAGAAGGTACTATATGGCCTTCCGACCACATTTATTGACTGAGACAAATAAAAAATTTAGAACTCAGTATTTCATAAGCCTCTGCAAATTCAGTAGTTATCTGTAGGAAATTTTACACAAAGTAGTAGTTCTGGAATTCTAGTCTTTCTCATAAGTCATTAATTTAAAGGCTACTTTGAAACACTCTGTAAACTTTATAAACTGTTACAATCTAACTTTAAGACTAGAAAGCAACTTAGATCAGCAATAAATGTTGGAAATGCTATAGGACCAGACAACGGAACAAGACATTCACCAACAGCCTTTTCAAGTAAACCAAGGTTTACTTATGACAGCTGTATATAAAGCCAGATTTCCAATAACTTCTACTTTAAAACCCTATATGTCGAGAGCTAAGTCCTTTTCTTAGACATCTCTTACTCCAGCTGTCAGGAAACTCTTTGTGTAAAGAATTTAGGAGTAAATAACCCTGACTTATTTCCTGGAAGGCAGGCACATGTGTCTCTTGCTTACTCCTGTGCTGCAGAGCAACTTCTACACTATGACTTCTGATGTTAGCTACTCCACTAGACCTTTATATAGACCATGAAGGGGGAGATGAAGAATAGCTTCTTAACCCCATGACCATTCAAAATGCAAATAAATGCAGAGAGACCTCCTAAACCCAGGAAGGACTGGATTGAGTCAGCCCCATGATCCATTCAGGCTGTGATTCAGTGTTCGACAGCAAACAGTATCAGCCCCTTCAGAAAAAAGCAGGGCTACCCAGCGAAGCGTAACAGGCACTCCTCCATCAACAAGATCTCCCTCTAACCCCTTAAAAACAGTGTAAATCCTAATTCGTAAGGTTTCCTGCATTTTCCAAATTATTTATAGTTATTGGAAAGCATTTCAAATAAACGAATGTACAGAAGGGGCTTATGAAGCCAAATATTTCCATGACGATCGGCTTTTTTCAGTTACAGTCCTGTCATCACAGACCAGCAATAATAAAACACTTTGCAATCCATTTGCTTTCCTTTTTTGTAACAGCAATTGCATAAGCTGAAAAACACTTGTCTTACCAACACATTCTCCATCCTTAAGTTCATAACCTGGCTGACAGCTCAGTTCCTGGAGACATTTGAATGATCCCAGTGTGTTGACACAGTGCTCTCTCCGTTGGCAGGTGTGCGTATCTGTTACGCATTCGTTAATGTCTACAAGAAATAGTTAAACAATTCAGTGACACATATTTATCAAGCGGTCTGCCTCTTCCTGCCCTTTTGGAAGGAGTCAAAAGCTCAAGTGAAAGAATTTCTTCCAAAAAATAGTAAATAGACTTTGCTAGTGTGTTCTGATGCAGCATTCTTTATTCCAGGATCTTTTGTTAACACGCAGTAACTCAAGAGACACAAATCACATGGAGATGTCCTCCTCCCCTCTTCCCAAATGTGCAATGGATGGTGCAGACACTGAGGACAAGGGATGTACAGACTTGATTAAATGCAGGGTGGGCAGAGGATGGACAATCAGCTTCTGCTTTACTGGATAGAGACCTCCTGGACAACTGAATTAGAAAGTGATTAATGTCTATTGCTCATTACCAGGTTTTCACCTCAGTCCTGCCGCTTCACGCCAGACCCACAGGAGTGGCTGGTGTGGAACTGCTGTAAGAGACTGGTTCTGAAACTGCCTGCCCTGCTGCAGGTGGAGTCAAGTATCATACTTATCTCTTAGGGAAGGTGTCATTAGAACTGGATACACAGGTAAATAGGGAGAGAAGAATGCTGAAGGGTCAATCAAGTTTGAACTTTGTATTTCAATTTTTAGAGAGATCCGATTTCAGCGGGTGAAGGAATAGAAAAGTTCTTTCAAAAAAAATCACTTAAACACCAGATCACAGAATACAGGACACAATTTGGAAAGGAATATGCCACACCTTTAAAATGATGGGGTTTGATATGCTTGGATGAAATAACCTCAAATCTAGGTTTTGCTGATCTTAATAACGAAAGCTAGGAACACCATGATGAGCAAATATTTACAAGCAACAAAAAGGAGTAGAGACGGGAAGAGAAACTTTTTTGTCATTCTCCACAAAATCTTACATGTTCACAGTTCTATATGAAGCCAACAAGTATTTCTGCAGCTAACAAAAGCCAAATGTGACCATAACTATTACCAATCATCCAGCTTCTCCACATATGAAGCTGTTTTCATGCTACACAATAAAGCAAGTATTGTTTAAATCAGATTTTCATTTTGGCTGCAGAACCTCATTCCCAGATAAGTACAACATCAGATCTATTACTTGCCCGTCTGGAGCATGCAAACAGGAAAAGCCATTTTAAAAGCCTTTTGTCTTAGAAAACGTCAGCTTGTTTTCTACCAAACAGACAAAAATAAGCACCAAGAAATTTCAGTTCCTGGTGAAGTCAGCTAACCGGTGATGTCCACTGAGTTCTGCAACACCAGTATGTCAGCTTGGTGCCATTTTACTGTTCATTCCTTTGTGTTTTCTTTTTTTCTGCCATTGCTATTCTTCACATGCTGAGTACTTGCTTTCCAAAGCCAGCTGATTAATGCAGAGCAAGGTCACTACCGTCAGCCAGGTATCTTTCTGCCTGTCCCACTCGATGTTTGTGTGGGCAGGTAATTGCCTACCCCAAAGTTTTTTCAGGGTTACGTCCTCATATGCTTACATAGTTTCTCAGTTTCTACACATGAGCTTGAAGTGCAAGCAGCAATATTCTTATAAATGGTCTTGGAAAAAAAAACCAAAACAAGGCTCAGCTCTGCCCTATCCAATGATAGTGCATGAATCTCCATCTCTGATATCAGGCTTGTTTCCAGCCCACCAAATTTTCCTTTGCATTTTATTAAGCAGACAGGCACTTTTTTGTTCATTTTTCTAAACAAATTCCTAACTGGTCATGCCATAAAACGAGATCTCCGAAGACTTGCAGCACCTTTCTTGTGAGCTTACATCAGTCCACATCGCTGTTCTCACTATCAATGCCTGTCACAATACAGTGTCCCTTAGCATGAGCGTGAGGGTGGGAAAAGGCATCTTTTTCTGGGAATATGGTCCCAGTTTCTGCTGCGGCAGTACACGATCACCCACGGTAGGTCTGGTCAGCCCAGGCTGTATCACTTTGCTGCACCACTATGGCACAAAATAGAGGGGAGTAAGGACTCAAATCATGTTTATAAAACAGGACAATCTCATTCTTCTTTCTTCCTCCTTGTTCATTATCCACAAAACCAAGAGTGCCCATAACCTGCCTCTCTTGAGTACTGGAAACCAACTCAACAAGTCAGTAAGACGCTTGACAGAGCACCAGGAAAAATCTGAGTTATGTTTTCAGTTTGTAACAAAGTTAAGTCCCAACACTGGACCAGCTGCAGTCTTCATCCAACACAATTAAGACTCTGAGGTAGGGCAAGATTATATTTATTCAGAAAAAAAAAAAGGAGTCAGAGGGAAAATAATTCAGTAATATATTAAAAACAAGCCATACAGTTAATTGTTGAGAAATTTACTAGTTCTATGTGTGTGGCAACAACATTCCTCACTTTATGCCAGTGAAAACCAGAATGAAATGTTACTGCATAATCTCTCTTTTGTTTTACCCCTGGAATTGTTGAAAACAGCAATATATACATGATCCCTCAGCATATCTGCTGCGTCTAAGAAGCTGACATTTTTTCAAAGGAATATCAACATTTCCCTACTGCTGTTTTTGATCAATACATACTTCAACATTAAAAATTAATTTTTGCATGTTTTATAAAAATGTGAAATGCAGACTTTTTTTGTCCTGCATATGTACTTTTCTCGTGAATTTCTTTTTTCTTTTCAAGTAACTTAAGCTCAATTTGTTTTATGGAATACATCTGTTCTGTTTTGACCCGTTGTTATTTTGCAACCACCTGCCCTGTGCTCACGCACGGTCCCTATGCTTCAGCAATAAATGACCGCTGACTGCTCACTCTGACAAGAGGGAAGATTTACACAGGAGTAGCGAGGTATTCTCCCGTCATTTGCATGTGGGTGGTGGTAACAACTTCGCCTGAAAGTCACCAGGAAAAGCAATCCAAGTTAAAAACACCCAACGTGGCTCTTATCTCTGGAGAGCATGGAGCTTTCAAGCCTGAAGATATTAAAATATCTGTTCACGAAGTTACACAAAGCTGCTGTGTGTAAGCTTTTTAAACGGCTTGTGACTCTTCCTTGTGCATGGTTGGCTTTCAGGAATTCTGGATATCTGCTCTTGAATGGACCTGGAATTATAATCTTCCACAGTTTAACCAAAGGAAATTCAACAGATAAAAGGTTATCAGCTGTTTTGTTGCTGTGCAAAGATTCCTCCCCCAAATGGCCCTAAAATACACACAGAGTAACACCACTAAGACAACAACAACTTGAAATCACATTAACGAAGCTTTCCTCATGGTGTTCAGTAGCTCAAGATGGGGCACAGAAGCAGTTAAGCTGGAAAAGGATACCTGAGGTGAGCAGGGCTGCAGTAAGGCGGTTAGTTCAACCAAACAGAAACCACAGTATGCCTGTGGCCTTCCCCTCTGACCACAGAAGTAGGAAAAATGTTAAACACAGCAGAAGTTCTCCAGGTACCACACAGAGAGCAGGGCTGTATGTGTATATGGAGCATACAGGGTACATCTATCCAAGAAAGAAGAGAAACTTCAAAGTTTCCTAGATTAATTACAGAGATACCTGCAGAATCCTGACTTGCATTAGAGAAATACAGATGTTCATCATTTATGAGGGGAAGAGGATCTTTCAGCTTTACAAATCAGAGTTGCAGCTTTCATTTTATTAGCAATGCCTGAGGTTTATCTTATACCAGTCACAATAAAACTCTGTTATAATGTCATGGGGTAGAGGGCAGGAGTGGAAGAAAGTGAACAAAAGGAAGCACTTGGCATCTTCTGTGGCACCTTCTGCCAAAGTTGCTGACAAACATGCATTAATGTAGTTTCAAAACGCTCCTGGGAGATGTAGAAAAGGACAGATATATCCCAACTGCATAGTCCAGGAAAAAAATCAGGAGATGAAAGGGCAAGATTTTCAGAAGCAGAAAGCAAGGCGAGGCAGTTTCCTCAGCTGCTCACTTACCAGACTTACATGCAGCAGGTTCTGTGAAAGCCATCAAACACACCACGCAGCCTGTGGCCAACTACAAATACCAACTTCCACCTTACAACCTGGTATTTTCTCTGTAAAGGCATCCTTCCTTCCACTCATGTTCTCTCAGTTATTGAAGTTAAACTAAATAATTCTACTGGTTTTCCATGCTTACCAGTATCTCTGATTTAAAAATAAATAACTTTAAAAATCCAATTTTGACAATTTAAGGAAAACCCAAGACAACAGCAAATCACATTTCTGATCAAAAATATGACACTGTATAAACTTCCCTGCTCATGCTCTCCTGCCATATGATGCTCATTAATAAGATGAGATCACAGAGCTTTAAAAGATAGGAACAAAGCCAAAGCTGTGATGGTCAGAACAACACTGTTATAAGTACAGGGAGAGGGATGGGTGGAAGAGGGCAAATGTATTCACTCATGACATTATAGTCACAGGCACTGCTGCTTTCATTAATGACTACAAGTCTCCAGGTGCTCTGTTTTTACAGGCTGTGCTGGGTTTAGTCAGGAAAGTCAGGAAAAGCCACTCCCTTTACCGTGGCTGCTAGGAAGCTGTTCCTGCATGCAGAGAGAAGCACTGATAAGGTCTCAGCTGGGCTGGAGAATCCTCCACTGAATTCAGCATCTTTCTCCGCTTCTGACCCTGCAGCTGCATTCCCAGCTCTCGCTGTCTGGGTACAGGCAGTGCAGGGGACACACAGTTCAGGCACCTGACCCCAACTGACCAAGGGAGTGTTTCATTCCATAGTACGTCATGCTCGGGGCAAAGGGGAGGAGGGGGGTCCAGGAGCCATTACTCTTACACTTTCTAACACTCGCTCTAACTCTTTTGTTACCTGCTTTGCTAACTCCTGTGCTGGCTCGTTAGTGAGTGAGGTGGTGGGTTTGTTTAGCTTTCCCAGTCGTGCTGTCGCTGATAGGGTTCGCTCAGACTCTGCTATGATCGCTCTCAGGCTGTGGCTCTCAGTCTCTCTGGCTCTGACTCTCACTTCTCAGCACCTGGTTGTTCATTGATTGGCAGGTGGTGAGCAACTGTACCATAATTGTATCATATTGTATCACGTTTTATTTTCTATTGTTTTAATTAATTATTATCAGTAGTATTTGTATATACTCACTTAGATTCAGTTAGTAAATAGTTCTTACCTCAATTTTATGAGCTCACTCAGTTTTTTTTCCTCCGATTCTTCCCCTCCACTAGAAGAGGGGAAGGGGAATCTGTGAGAATGGCTTCATGGTATTTTGCTAGCCAGAGCTGAACCACTATACAGGCATTACCACACAACACTGCTGCAGATCAGCTCCTAGATGAGACTCTAGAAAAGTACCCCAAATATAGTTTCTATTTTGTAAGCTCAGGCCTGAGGTTTCTGAAGCAGATTAAATCCTCATAAATACACTTGTAAAAATACATTGGTTTCTTATATGAACTTAAATAGCAAGGATGATACAGCAGGATTATGATGCATCTTTGACTTTTACACAAATAAATTTGTGCCAGAATCAACAAAGGACTAATCTGAATTTAAAATTCCATCACTTTGGAATGAATCTTTTCCACTGCCCAGACTTATGGAGATTTCTTAAGCTGTATTTATGAAGTTTTGCTGTTTCGTGATGTCTGGGGATTCGGCAGCATTGACACTATCCAGAGATATCAACTGCTATGTTTTCTTAGTCCAGCTAATAGTCATCAGTACTGCTGTGGTCATCATACCCATGAACTTTTATGACTTTTGAGCAAAGTTATATGTATCCTGAGAATGTATTGCTAGGGAAAAAGCCAAACTGCATACAACTCATAATGTTAAGTGGCTGAGCAAATGGTGCACATGTGTTTTTACTAACTCATATTGAAATGTCATATGCAAGGATGGCCAGGGAGCCTTTTAGCACAAATGGTTTATATGCATTTCAGAGCATGAAGAATTATGATGCTGTGGTGAACAGCTTACACCTATCATCTTACCAACACATTTTCTATGCCTGTTGAGTATAAAGCCCTCTACACAGATCACTCTGTGGTTGACACAGTAGAATGATCCCAATGTGTTCACACATAATTGTCCTCTGGAACAAGTGTGAGCACCTGTGAGGCACTCATCCAAATCCAGATCAACATGATGCAACAGAGAGGGAAAAACAGAATTCTACTAGAACAATTTCTGAAATGAAGCAACACTTCTTTCACGCTGCAGATGTCTAAATGAAGTGTGTTGGAGCTACCACATCAGCACCATGCTACAGTATATTTATTGTTACACTGAAAACAGGGCTGGAATAAACCCTCAGAGATCATCTAGTCCTTGCTTGCACCCCTACACTTTTGTCATTCCAGAAAAAGCCATTCTTAAAAATAGGTAGTCACACAGATAAAACACACGTTCTTTGCAGGAAACATGTTCCAGTGCACCACCACCCTTACCATTAAGTACTTACTTTAATATAGATTATAAATGTCCTTGCTACAATTTAAAGTCATTATTTCCACTGACTCTTCTGAATTTTCTCACCTACTGTAGGAAAACGATTGCCTTGAAATGCCCCTTTTGATTCTGACATTAATTAATCAAATTAGCTTCCATCACACTTGAATAAGCAAGGCACAGTGAATATTTTATCTGGTAACATTAAATTCCCATTTTCTTCACAGACTATCTGGGATTTCATGAAAATGATTTGTTATTCAATAAGATCTGAGCTGAAGAGGAATGTGGATTGCTTGTGAGCAATTCCGAGCATCAGAAGCTTCTACTTGCATTTCACTGCAGGCTGTTACTGCTCCCATACTCACAGATTTATAATTAAGGTATGTCACAGGACATTGCCTCTGACCCCCAAATCTTTCCTGGGTAAACATACCCTTTGTCACTAGCCAAACATGTCCATTTAAAATTTATATAATGTGAATGATCATCGTACAGTTTTGGAAATCACTGTTCAGGCCTGAGCTTGTGTCAAGTGAAACACGTGGAGTTGGACCAGCTCACAGTGGCACATTCTTCATGTGAAGCCTTGCTAAATTCAGGTTTTCAAGGCAAGCAGAAATAAAAACAAACACAGCAGGTGACAGAACAGAGCTGCAGCTCTGAGGGTGGTCCTTAGGACAGAAAACATGTTCATATCCTGCTAGCAGCTCCCATTCTGACACATGCATATACTGATCATTACTGGCAG